TTGTGTGTGTGTGTGTGTTTCTTTTTTAACTCTTGCCTCCTGGGGAGCAGAAGCCAGCCGAGATCCTCAGTTCTTAACTCCGGGGAGGGGGGGGCTGAGGGCTGCGAGCCCCGGGGTGCCCGCGGCGTGCGGCCGGCATCCGTCCCGCGGCCGCTCCTCCGGTTCAGAGCCCAGTGCGAGCGGAACAAGAAAAGCTTTTCCTTCCTTTTTAAGTTCCAGAAACTAAACTCGTCATTTATTTTCTGTCCACAGATTGTTTTAAATAAACATGAAGTTGGTCTTATAATTTTTTTTTTTTTTAACAGCTTTTTAAGCAGAAGCACAGTCCTCAGCACGGCGGTGATCATCTCCTTGCCGCTCCCTACCCCGCTGGGGTGGTGCCACTGGGACAGACCCCAAACCCAGCGTGTTCCACCGGTTCTGAGGTCTCCTGGAAAAAAAAGATATGGCTTGTTCATCGGCATCGTGCTCTTCCCAGCGGCCGGAGGGACGACCCGCGCGGCACGGAGCAGCAGAGCCCTCCGGCCCGCCAAGGGGACCGCTGGCCATCCTTAGCGCCGCCTGGGCTCGAGCTTTATTAAACCCCCTCTCGGATAAACCAGGCCTGCTCCAAGTCCAGCTCCTGCAATAAGCCTCAGTGTGGTCTCCTCTAGCGGCTGCTCTAGCAGTTGAATCCACCTCCACATTTGAGAAACTTATCGACAAATCAAAACATTGAAAGTTTTATCGCTACTGAACATATTTACAGTTTTCAGCACGCACACAGCTAATCCAAATGGGTATGGGGATGTCGAAGGTGAGCACGTGGTCACTACCATATTTTGTTCTTTACGTTTTCAGAAACAAACATAAAATTCAGATTCTTGTATCTCACTATTTCATTTAAATGAGACTTTTTTTCAACCACACAGATTTTTATAAACAAAAAAACTGATACAATGTATTAAAACACATAATAACAAGAGTCTACATGTAAAAATATAACTTTTACATACACAATTTCAAAATAATGATACGTTTGCCATTTGTTGCATAAAATTTACAAATGTATTTTTCATTACTATATAACTGGCAAAACAGGAGAACAGATGGAACATTTAGACCGTTTGATGGATTTATGGCATTTATTCAGTGTTGATAGGTGGAAAATCTACTCGAACAGGGAGATTTTTATTTAAAATACATGCCAGGTTGGTGTGGCTGTAAAAATAGAAACTGGAATTAGAGACAAAAGGATGCTGACAAATACTTAACTAGGAGCACTATCTGTTAATCGTACTGTACACCAAAGTCAATCGTTATTAAGATTCACTATGGAAGTTGGTTCAATTGTGCCCAGACTTCAAAGCTAGTTATCTGATGAGCTGCTGTGCCATAGTTTGAGCTATGTTACTATTAAATATGTTAAGTAAAAACTTCATTCGTACTGGCCAGAGAAATACTGTACTACCACCCCTCCTCGAGAAAGTGCAACTTAATGCTTTAGGACTCATAAGGCTTGTTATAATGCTGCATGATGACCGGAATTGGCATTTCACAAAGAAAGGAGGAGGCAGCAAGTGGTCTACAGTTAAATAATCCACTTAAAAAACGAGAGAAGAACAACAGAAAAAAAGAAGTCGATCAAATCTGTCACACTACTTGCAATTTTCCCCCCGCGATGGTCGTGTGTGTCCCCTCCCTCCCTCCT